CAGCTCATCTTCTGGCAGGGAGGGAACCAGGACATTGCAGGACGTATGGTGGGTGGGATGGGAGGCAGCCGAGAGCGTGGGGAAGTGGGAAGTATTGCTGGAGAGGGTGGCCTATAGAGAGCCAAGGGTATTGCTGGAGGGGTCTAGGCTATTGCTGCAAGGAGGAAAGGACACAAGGAAAAAAACTCATGAGGAATTAGGCATCATTAGTTCACTGCCTATGAATAGTGTTTTTCCTCAGTGCAGTACTGATTGTGCCATGTATAGTTAAGGGAATGTAAAAATAGTAAAAGCAATGGTTTCTATAAACACACGTGAGCTAGCAGGCACTGTGTGCCTTCTGGTTCCAGAAGAAATTTCCTGCCAAGATCTACTGAATTATTTGTTTCTTTCTATTGTATTCTGTGCTGTCAAATCACTCCCTTTTTTTGTCCATATCAAGCGGTCTTTTGAGGACAACTGGTAGGGAATGAAGTAGCCACCATGTACAGCTTGGGGAAGAGAATCAGCCCCTTGATGTAGAATCTTTTTTTTTTTTTTTTTATCAGATACAATCATAATCCTTAGGACCAAGACTAAAACAAGAGAGACCTCTCACCATGATTACTTATGTGGGAGCGGCTGAAGAGCAGGATCTACCTACACAAAAGAAATGGTCAGGGCTCTTCAGGCAATACTTTTCTACTGTCATTCTCTGCTTCCTTTGCTCTTAAGATTAATGGATTGTGTATCCAGCTTGCCTTGAGAATGAGAACTCATCAGTCATGGCAAAGAATGGGTAATACATACCCAAAACTTAAGATATCCATGCTGCAGTTAGAGCATCCCTAGCATAACTCATTAAAGATTAGCTTATATTAGCATCGCCCTGTCTCTTTGGGAGTCACACAGGACTCCCCGTGTTGGAGAAACCCTCAGATGTCTGCTTAGTGATTCCCTTTGGATCCCTGCTTCCTTCTAGGACTGGGCTGAGCACAGAGCTGAACTAGTTGGTCACCCTCTGAGACCAGATTGTGCATGATGCTGGAGCCAGCTATACAGCTGGCTCTCAAAGCCATCCTTGCACACATTTAAGGAGAATGGATGCCGCTGTAGCTAATGAACTCAGTAATTCTGACTCAAGAATCTGATCCAGCTGCTATGCCAGGGAGGGGTCTGTCCATAAGGAAAGGAATGTTTGTAACCTCTTGCACCTCCAAGAGTTTGTCCTCCAAGAAGGGTGAAACATTTACCTACAAATTAAGCAGGAAGAGCTTAATCATTGCATAAGTAATCATTTGGGGACTGTGGAAGATCATCTAGGAGGGAATTTCCTAGGACCATTTCCTAGGAGGACGTACCAAGTTTTCTCAGTCTTGCTCCATCTGAGGAAGCTTTCTAGTGAATGCTGTCTTGCTGAAGCAGAGCAAGCTCTAGCTGTGTGTTTCCTCCCAAAGTGACTGGGGAAATTCAAGGAAGATGAAGACCAGGTTCCAGTGACACAGTTGAACCAAATAATGCAGTTTTAATACCCTAAGGCTCAGCTACAGAGGTAAACCTGCCTTCCTCTCATCTCTTCTGGGTCTTATGAAGTCATTGTATAGTGCTTTTTCTTGAACCCAAAGAGCTCTTGCACATGAATTTTATACAGTCTTATACCTTGAGCAAAGTGAGAGTAGAATGTTGCTGGCTTTGGGAGCATTTCTGTCCTCTGTAGGGGCATCAATGATTTAATGATAAGCAAGGAAGATTTGACATAGAGGTACGTAAAGGACACAGCATGGCTTTATATGCTGGTGGCTTATGCTGTTTTAGGATAGTAAACTACTGCGTTAAGGAGTCTGGCTATACAATACCTAGAATTGTGAAGTTCAAACAGGGCTGCATGCTCTAAGAGCAGTAAGACATGATTCTTTGAATGGGCAGCCTGCAAAGGTGGTAATATTTCAGAGGACATTTGAGTTTTGTGTGTTTGTATCCCCAGGGTATGGATCTGTGCCAGCACATTGACAATCTCTCTGAACTCCGGTTAGATAGAAATAGCTTTTCCTTCTCTAACGTTTTCCAGCCATAAATCTCAAAACCTTCTGAGTAGTGCTTTATAACACTGTTGCTTTATAGGGAAATATTCAGATGCTAAGCCTGGAGGGACCTCTCAAGTCACTGAGTTCAGTTAATTCTCTCAGAGTCAATCGCATCATGTATTCCCTTTCATAAGCATCCACCCCAGTTGGATGGTTGTTACAGAACTTCACTGCTCTGATAGCTAGAAATCTTCTTATATTTCCAGACTTAAGTATAGCCATATACAGTTTGTATCCATTTGTCCTTGTGCCAATACCTGTACTTTAATTTTAAGTCATTCTTTCTTCTTCTCTGACCTTTTCCACCCTGATGTGTTTACCAGAAATCAGATTCCTTCTCAGCTTTGTGTCATGTTGGGTCAAGCAAGCCAAGGTCTTTCAGTTTTAACTCTTCAGACAACTCCCTATTTCTTCCATGATCCTCACATTCTTTCTCTGTACCTCGTCCAAGCTCAATTTACCTTTTGTGACCAGAGGTGAACAGAAAAATATACTGCTGTCAGCAATGTCTCATACTAATTCTGATTTCTGTTGCAAATTGGAGCCCCCAGCATATTATTATTACTAAGCACGGTTGTTTTGCTAGCTAGTAGCTCCTTCCCATTCCATAGGACCAGCCTGACACGATTCAGAACCAAGGGAACAACAGTGGGGGACTGGAGCTGGTATTGAGGAGTTTCACAGGCTCCTTAACACGATTCCCTTGACTACGCTGTTAGGAAATAGAAGGAGTCTTGTTTACATGAAGAACAAGCTGAGCAATAATAGTACAGAATCAAAATACCAAGAAGGCAATGGAACTATTCTAAATATAATGGTTTTAAATGTTTGCTATTACTGTACAGAACAGCTGGCCTTTAAAGCAATTACTTCAGTAAGTTGCACATCATCAATCTCTGAGAAAGATGAGTGTGAGTCTAGAGAATGTTTAATTCATGGCCTGAGAGAATCTTCTCATTGTATTTATCTCTCAGGCTCCAAATCCTATCAAATAGCTGTCCGGGATATGAAGCTGTTTTTCCCAGAAGGGCTGTGCTGCGCCGAGTGTCAGACATTAGAGGAGGAAGAGGTAGGACTCTGCCCTTTCCTGAGGAGTGTCCTGCTGTGTCAGAGCAGTGGCTTCAGCCCTGCTAGCCCATGACTTCTTTCCTATTATGCTTTAGCTAATGCTTTTTTTGCTGTTTCACCAGCTGCCGAGTTTTCTTTCTCCTGTGGATGTTCCTACCACAATGTGCTAACTTTGTACTGACCCAGACAGTCTCAGTGGAAAAGTGCTTTTTCAGATACGTTTGCTCAGTAACCTGTTCAGAAGGGCTCAGGGCTCATGCTTTAGAAGCAAAGTTCCCAGATGGAGTCAACATGACTTTGGAAGCAGGTCACGGGGAGGGATAGCAACATCATCGACGATGGCTGAGACGCAGTTGGCCCAGAGGCTGGGGTTTTTTTTAACCAGCTTTTCTCATGTAGAGTTCAGGAATGGTGATGAACTGGGACCACTGATAACGTAACTCGCTGGTTGCTGAACGTCTCCCACAGAGTCTGTACACACCCATGCGCGCCCAGTGTGGAGCGCTGCCCTACCTGTGTGATGAGGGTGTTGTCCCTTGTGCCCTGCCAGCAGACGTTATCAGCCCATGGCAATGAAAAAGGTGGGGCTGTCTCACGTAAAACATCTCATGCTAGAAAGTTTGGGCAGCTTACAGAGCTGCTGGGTGCCTGCATCCTTCCCTGCCTGCAGAGGGAGGCATAAAGACTCAGATTCTTGCCTCTTGGCTCACATTGTAGGCAGTGCCAAGAAGCTTGCCGGTACTGGTGTGCTCCACTCCTGCTCATCTGGCCCTTCACGCTATGTGGGTGCTGGTCTCCAATTCCAACCACTGTAATTTGCCAATGGCTAAAGTGAAACAGTGTCTTTCCTGTCCAGCTATTTTTCTATGTCATTTCTACTCTGATCATTTTCTTCTCAAAACCAGAGTTTGAAATGATTGGGTTATGCCCAATGAAGGAATGGAAATTTTTGAGCCTTGCTACGTCCATGTGGCACAGAGGTGACCCAGCTGAGTTAGTCCAACGAGATTAGCTCTGGAGCTGGAAGCAGCTGGCCACATCTGTAATATGTGGATGCCCTCCCTCTGCAATTCAGTCCTCGTGGCTGCACTGTGCCGGGATGTGTGGATGTGCCGGTTCATTCAGAGAGAAGGGAGCCATTACACACCAGTGTGGCACTGGATAAAGTTGTCAGGCGCTCGCAGTCCTTGAGTTTCTGGCCTTAAAAAGCTGGGAGCAGAGACCTTAGAAAGATGTCTGGATACAGGACCTTTAAAAGGATGACAAGATGCCATACTGAATTAAGCCTCAATAAAAAAGAATGCATGCAAAGTGTTCTTGTATCTGCAGACAAGCAGGTGTTTTCTAGGCTGGCAATTACAGAAGTACACAACACCAACAAAAGCTTCACAGCTTGCCTGAATCAATTCTTAAGAAGTGTTATCCTTTCTGAGTAGGTGATGGTGTTCACATGACTTGACTCTCTCTCCCTGCCTTCCCTCCTGCAGATCTATAACCTGAAACGTGACCCCATAGTCAGTTTGGAAATGGACAAGCAGCGCAAGATCATAAAGCGTGAAACAGGAGGGCAGCTCAATTTATTGGGCTCTGAGCAACCATGCAATCTCGGTAAGGAAATGCGTAACTCTTGTTATAGATTGAGACTGTTATTGATTAATTGGACAGCAAGACAAACCATCTGGTGGCAGCAAGATTTGGTATCGATGTCCTTTCAGAGGGGAGAGACAACCCAGAGCTGCGAACAGCTCTGGTGGAGTCCAGCCATTTAACTGTTTACCTGCCAGGGCTTTCCATTGCCAGTGCTTTTACGGGTTTAAATACAGGGCTGCTCAGAAGCACTGACCTTATCACCAGCAGAAGAACAAATGCTGTCAATGCAGCTAAGCGTAAGCAACGGTGCACATTTCTCTGCTGAACTTTTACAATGCGTCTCAACACTAACTTGCTCACAGTGGTTTGCACGTCCATTCAAAACCTGCCACAGGAGAGGCCAAGACACCGTAGTGACGGGCGATGGAGAGACATTTTGTCCTGTGAGTAGATAAATAACAGTTTATGCAGGGAGCGCCTTTGGCAGTGTGGACATCTAACTTGGGAACTGGACTGAGATTTCATTCAATTCCCCCTAGCTGCTGAACAGCTGCCAGCTCAGGATGACTTCCAGTTACCACTGGTCTGACTCTGATTTGAAGTTGCAGCTTCAGCAAGCCTGTCAGTTCCCTCAGATGCCTACAGTTTCTCTGGGCCTTTTCTGTTGATCTTACCTGATAGGCGTGTATACAACACAGGCTGTGATGCAGCACCACGTGTGTCAGGAGATGCAACTCACACATGGGGATGCTCCCGTGCTGGGATATAGTGGATTGATCCCAAGCCTTTATAAACAAGCAGTGACCAGGTAAAGCATCCCTGTGGCGTTCACTGGGGAGCAGACGTGTTTGGAACCGTGTCATTCTTGTTTCTGTAGCTTGAGTTCTGATGCGACTGGCAAGCAGGAGGGTGGGCAGCTGAGAAAATGTTCCCGCACTGCAACTGATTGCTGCAGTTGTTAATCCCAGCAGTAAACCCACAAGAGTGGCAGTCGAGTATGATAAAAATGCTACAGAATTACAGACCATCGCCTCCCACCTTAAACCCTTACTAATACAGGACTTTTGGGTGTTGACCCCATCCCAACAGTTCAAGCAGGATACTGCTCAGTCAAGGCCTTTGCCTTAATGACAGCATTGCAGGCACCAAGACACTTCTGCGTAGGGGGTCTCTGAAGGAGGTTTTTTCCCAAGGTAATTATCAGTGAATTCTTTCCACTGCTTGTCTTAGCTTTGGGCTATGCCCTACGCATGCTTCACAATGGTTACAAAACCCACAAATCCTCAGGCAAGCTCTTTTTCTTACATTGCACGCTAATACGTCGGAGACTGACTGCATGAAGGTTTAAGACTTAACTGATGCCTGTGATGAGGGGTGAGGCCTATCTCAAAATGTTACTGACATTCCCAGGCCGTTGTATGAGTCCCAAAACAAGAGATTGGCAATTGTGTGTATGTAACGGCAGCTTTCTGAGACAACCAGGCTGTTCTGCATGTAGCTCTCTGACCTTCTCGTCCGGCTAGCTGCGGAGACGTGATCACATCATTGCGTTTCCAGTGGGGTATGTCAGCTCAAGCTATGTTCAGAGCACAAAGCTGCAGTGAGAGGAGACTTACAGATGTTCCCAGTCCGAAATATCCTGTGTTGCTATTGCTGACAGGCAAGGTATTTCCCCCAATAACGTAACTGCACAATGGGAAAGGACCAGGCCTGTAGTACAGTGTCTGCTGTGACCGAAGCACTTCTTGATTTTTAAAGGAGATGGCAGAAAATAAACTGAAAGAAATAGCTTGTTGTGGAGAGAGCAGAAGTATTCTGCAAGCTTTGTACAGCCCATTGTTGGGAGCAAATCTCAAAATACATGTCCCTAATTTCCTGCTGCATGAGGGTCTCTTTGCTTTAAAGATGTCTAAGCAGAGTAAAAAGGAAACCAGTGTAGAGCCCTGATGTGTTTGTGTCTCAGAAAATGTATTTCAACGAGTTATTGTCCTGGAAAAGCAAGTGCACGTGATCTCTGAACTGTCAGGCACAATATAGTAAGCGCCTCCAGCAAGCCAGACACATCATTCACTTTGTGGTCTCATCTTGAACACTAGAGGTAGCTCTTGCACACAAAGAAACCTCTCCTTTCAGCAAATAATTATCACAGAGCTGCTGCCTAATGGGCGGACAGATTTATCATGAGGAAAATATGAAATACATTAAGTCTTCTGTATGCTGATCAGAATTACATTTTGGATTATAAAAGCAGCTGGATTAACAGATTTCTTTGCTTGGGAGAAATTAAATGGAATAGTATCTCCTGTAGCAAACCAGCAGCTGTCCTTGGCTGACTCCTGAAATGGGGTCACTACTGCTGTCTTGTGATCTCCAGATACGTACGCATAGGCATACAGCAGTTTGACAGTTCAGGCTGAGCAATTGCATCTGTGAGCATCTCCAATGGTAAAGCAATGCCTGAGTGCCTCTGATCTTCCGCTTACTTGTCTGTGGCAGGGAAGAATTACTTAGAGGGCTAGCAATTGAGGGGGGTAGATATAAAATAAGCTTCTGTTGTGTTTTGATCTTCTCCCATCAGATCGGCCATTGCTTGATAGCCTCTGCCAAACCACTTGCTTCGTATTGCCTGGGCTAATCCTTCGGGGTTCAGAGCACCCGCCTTATGTCGAACTGCTCGATCAGCTTATTGGCAAAGATTTCACGGTGACTGGAGTGCGCCTCACTGTCCTGGATGCGCCACAAGCTCACTGCATCTCTGAGACGCTAAGCAGGGCGAAGTGCAGTGTTGCAGCCAAGGTATGAAACAGCTGGAGTCGTGCTTTGCTTCTTTCGCACAAAAGAGGAGCCTCTTAATGCCGTGCTGTGCTAAGATACCCAGGCTAGCTCTGAGCAAACTTGCTTTGGTAGCAGTATTAGCACAGCACTGCATCTGAGCTCTAATACCACTGGTAAGTAATGTGGGCGACGTGCCTTGCTAGCTTAGTCCCTACCTTGCGTTCCTGTATCTCCGCTAGCTCCCTGACACCTAACCTTGACATCAGTACGTGTGAACGGATCCTTAACGTGAGTGGCGCATCCCCGTTAAGCATTTCATTCCATTCACCTATCAGCGCGCAGTTGCTGCTATTATGTATGTTCTGCTGCTGTATCCTGCCTCGTTTTTCCAGATAAATACAGTTTCTATCTCCCTTTCTCTAATCACACCCCATTAATCCTCTTCTACAATGCTAAATAACCCTTCCGCTTTTTAGACTGTGCCCTGGAGTCCTGGGCAGAGACTTCATTTTGCTTCTCGTTTAGTTGGTGCTGACAGCTCAAGCCGAAATCCAGCATGGGGTTTGAGCAAGTGCCTACGGGATTTACGCATGAGATGCGCTTCTGGGGCGAGCGGATACATTGCTTTACACCAGCAGAGTATCTGGCCCAGGCTGTTTTTCTCTTTGCACTTGGTGTAGGAGAAGCCCACGGTTTCAGGAACCTTCCTAGGGCAAAGCAGTAAGGTAGGATATGCAAGAAAGTGCTGTCAAGAGCACAGAGTAAACGAGGGGGAAACTACTTATACTGGAAGCAGCAGTCAACAAAAGGCTGTCAGAGACACACAGCAGTCCCTCTGAAAAAACACAGACCAACGTCTGTGCTTCCAGCCTTTCAGTTATAAGAGTCTTAGGTGTTATCTGTAATAAGAGCAGGTAAGATCTTTTCAGGTTGTGATTTTTTTAAACTGACAGCATCCCTTTGAAGTACCTCTGTATAGAATAGCAATTACATCTAGCATCCAATTAGTCTAAGCACCACTTTCTTCTCCTGCGGTTCCCCTGAGGATGCCATCCCTCTGCACACGGGAATGTGCACAGCTCTCTAGGAAGGACAAAGCGAATCGGCGTGTGGGAAGGAGAGCCATGGCAGCGGCACTGCTCTCCTGGCGATGGAAACACTTCCTCCCATCAGAGATGAATTACTCTGGGCAGAGCTGGCCTGTTTCCAGAAGGGTCTGGCACTGCTGAGCCAAAGGTGAACATTACAGCATTTGCTTTCCCCTGCCAGAAGGGAGATGGGCTCCTTCAAGTAATAAGTGTTTCTGCTACACTATCTCAACATTCACCGTTATCTCCCTATTCCTGCTTCCAGCAGACTTGGTGACTGAATAACACACCTAAGTAACCTGCTTATTTTCACTCTGAGAGAAGGGAACAGGAATAATAGTATGCCATAGGAGCGGGGTAACTAGCAGTTCCGACATGATACTCTTTCAATTTGAAAGGGTCTGTTGCTTTGTGACTTTCATCCCCTTGCACAGCGCACAAGCAGTTATCTGTGCTGTCAGCGGTTCGTCAGTGAGGCTTACGGACTTATTTAAGTGGATGGCAACACCAAAGCTCTGTTCTTCCTTCTCTTGTAGTGTTCCCTCTTAATGGATGGTTTGTGTCTGGTGCTAGCAGCACAGCGAGACAATGCGGTCATTTGCTTCGACTCCCTGCTGGACAGGTAAGTGAGGACAATCTCGCTTTAACAGCACTGTCTCAACCCCCTGCGAGAGAGCTTGTGATTTGAAGGAGGGCAGCTGACTTTCTTCTCTGTAATTCACTTCCAGTTCAGATTCCCAGGAGGTCAGGTGCCACTCAAAAGCAACCCATTCTTCCTAAGTTATGTTGTTGTTAAGGGGTCAACACCTCAGAGCGTTCCCCCGTTTCAAAGCCCCGTGTCCTGTACTCAGGACCTTAAATACTGAGTCCTGTTGTTTGTTAAGGACTTGGAGTGTCTGTGAGGCTCGGTAGCATGGTTCCACCAATACAGGGAATTCTCTGAAATAAGGGCTCACATTGGGAATAGACCTGCTGAATCAATAAAATTCCTAGGAGAAATGTCTTAGCAGATCCTGTGTTTGCTATGAAAAAAAATACTTAAACGCCAGAGAGCAAAATCAAAAATTAGCCTCTTAAATCACCAGAAATGCTGGGTAGGGGATGTATAAGCCTGGTAAAACAAATAGAACCCCTCTGCAGGGACTGATTAGTGAAATAGAATGATTATCAGGCCAATTAACCCACTGTTCCCCAGAGGGAAGGTTTCCTTGCACAGGGGCTGGTATTTGGCAATGCAATGTGTAATTTGTGCACGTGGTTTCCTCTGGGAAAGGAAGCCAAGAGAATCTTTTTTTCTGACACATTTGGTGTAGAGCAGTCCGGCAGCCACACTGATAAGACTGTCGTGACTTTGGCTGTACTATCTGGAGGACTTCCAGATAACACTGTCAATGCGACAGGCGTAAGGGATTCAAGGATGCTGGACTTCACAAGCATCAAGGGGATCAAATCTGAACATCCAAGTTGGTAGACACCTTGCAGTTCTCGTACTTCAATGAAACGTTACGGTGCTGAGTCACAAGGCCACACCTGGGAAGAACAGTTGAAACAAATTTCATCAGGAACTTTTCAAAAATGTTCTTTAAGCTAATGACAAAATTTAGATATTGCTTCCGTTCATTTAAAAGCAAACCCTTGGGAGCCATCTCCCAAACCTTTCACCCTGCAAGGTACAGCACTAAGGGGAAGCAAAGAGCAAGTTACCCAAGGCCTCTCTAGTGACTTTTCTCCCGCTCTTGCCCTGGTTTACAGGACAAAAGTGAGCTGTTGGGAACCCCAGATTTCACTGCCGAAGGGCGTTCTGGGAGAGTGGCTGCCGGCTCTGCTGACAGCCAATGCAAGATCCCCCACCTCTTTATTTTCCCCAGGCTTTTGCTCATCAGCATCGTGGGCGCTGCATAACAAGATCAGCTGCAACCCAGTGCTTCCCTCTTCTGTAGGCTTAACTTGATATGCTTTAAGATTGCCAGTCTCAAGGCAGCGCCCCCCGAGCAAACCTCGTGGTGGCTTCTCACTGCCATTCACAGTGAGCCGAGGGGCTGAGAAGGAAGCGGGGAGGAATAGGTGCCAGTCTCAGCTGTGTCCCTCACCCCTCATCCTGGTCTGTGCCAGTATGGCTGGCTGAACAAAGGAGAAACTTCCTTGCCAAACTGCAAAATATATGTGCATAAATTACAGCCCTTAGGAGGCACTCCCAAATGGCAGGATCCACTCTGCCTCTTCCCCCACTGCCAGGACTAGTGATCACACAGCCATTTAAAACCAGCTCTACAAAAAAAAAAATTGCTTTTGTGATCGATGATGCCTGTGGAAGGGAGAGGCGCAAGGATGGGGAGGAGGGGAGGCTGTGATCCTCAGGCAGATCAACTTTAGCCAGCAGTAAACTCGTACCCTTTTTGCATCACAAGCCGTCACACTGTTTAAAGTCAACTTTGCAAATACCTTTGAAAACCCAGCCTGACTTCACTAGTGTCTCGTAAGGACACTTCATGCTAAGACATCTTCACTGCCTAGTTTATAAACATTTCAAAATAACATCTGAGGTTAATTACACTCATGACTCCATCAGCAGGAGCCACGTGACCTTTCTTGTACTGAGTAAATCACTGTATATTTATTTCACGCTCGCCGCCAGGGCCCAGGATTCCAATACCTGCACAGGTTCTGGCCTGCATTTCAGCTGCATTGCTGAAGCACCAGGGTGTAAGAGATTATTTTACAGCCCTGGGAGTTGATTCGCAGCTGAGCCACATTACTCGGGCTTTGTGCCACAGGGAGAAATGTTGCCATCTGTATGGAAGCCTGGGATGTGATGTCAGGGATGGGCTGTGATAAGGAGGAGGAATCAGGTGTTGAGAGGAACAATGCGGGCTTTGCTAGTACAACCACTCATTGTTCAGAGCCTGTTAAAGCTTTCCTAAACCAGCTCTAGCAGTGGCACATCAAGGCGGGACAGTCAGTCACGGAGGGTGTGCAGTGGCCTTAAAGAGAGGCGCAGACCCTCGTAACTGCGTGGTGATCACTGTGCAGCAGCAGCGGTGCCCGCTCTGTTCTCTGGACATCTATGAAGGCGTTATTTCCGCACCAAAGAAGAAGAGAGAAAGGGACAAAATTTATGCAGGTGGAGGCACAAAAGCAGCCTGTGAGCTTGATTGGCTGCCAAGAGAGGAGCCGAAGTAGGAATCTGGGAGAATCTGGGAGGGTGCCAAGGGCAGCTCATAGGGCAGAGTGAAGTAAGTGTTTGGAAGAGGCGAGGGGAAGCTGAAGCACAGCCTAAGAGCAGTGGGGACCGGGGGGAGAATCCAGAGACGGAAGTGACACGATCCTATCCGCAGACAGGGAAAAATGATGTGAGACTTACCTGTCCTGTTCTGTCAGCATCCGGCTGCCTGCATCTCCGGTATAAAGCATTTGAATTTTCCCTGTCATAACTTGTTTTTACAGCCAGATTTCCTAGCTGCAGGGTGGCAGAGGGAAGAATTTACAAGTAGATTCAAAGCAGCTCCTGGAAGAAAGGCATGCTCTGCTTTTTACGCATGACAAACTAGATTTAGCTACCTTAATAGGTGATACTGATTTAATAGCGATTACTCCTCTATGGTTATTTGAGCTTTTAAAAAGTACTTTCAGATGCCCGTAAGGTTGTTAGGACCTAACTGTATTGTGCAGGGTCTTTAGGAACTCACCTAGTTAAGGTTGTACTGAACTCGGTAAGCAGTGTTTGACTAAAAGCATGCCAAAAACCTAGCTGCATCAGAAGAAAATTCAGGGTGTGGATTCGGCCTTATACCTTCCCGATTTTAGACAATGTGGTGCAATCAGAACAACAGTCAAGTGTTCAGGAACTTAGCTGGATGTTATTCTCTCTGATGAAACATTCTTACCAAGCGTTAATTGCTGTTAGCAGGGAGTGATGTTATCCCTATAGGGAGCTCATCTCTGGGAGCTTTGGAGGGAAAGGAGGTGTAGAAATCAAAACACGAACACACGAGATGTAAAATCTTGGAGGTGTTGAAAACTGCTGAACAGAAAACTGTTGCCAAGCGCAATACCTGGATACAGGGGCAGGGAGTGGTTTCTGCACCCTCTGGAGAGTTTTCAAGCCTAAGACTCTGAGCACAGAGTTAAAGGAAATTCTGAAATTCGCATTTTGCCTTTGAAT